TCTTTAAAGTTTATATTAAAGAAGATACGTTTCTATTAAATTACAGAGCTTCCAGAATGAGGATCTAGATAGGACGTATGTATAAAAACATTTTGAACCTTTCAAAGCACCTTTTAGTTTGTGTGAAGTTCTTCAGATGGCCCCGTTGTCCTTTGAAGCTTCTAACACCAAGGTGTCTGTTGCAGCCCAGAGCAAGGTTGCTGCTACCCAGGACAGCACTAATTTGCGATGTATTTTCTGTGGTAAGCAACATTATGTTTCCATTACTTTTTCAAGCTGTGCTACATACTACTTGCACATTTCCATAACTTTTGTTTCCGTAGGCCATAGTCTGGTTTGTGGTATTTGGGATCGACAGCAAGCTACCGTTTTATGTTGTGATATCTGTTGTGGTTCGTGTAGGTGATTTGGTCAGCTTTTGAGTTGGCTTCTTAGTGAGAATGTAGTTAGAATGAGGGTCTTAAGACTAACCCTTCTTCAGTTCTTCTAACACGAATGAGAGGGGGTTTTGTTTGTTCGTTTTTGTTTTCAGCTATTTTGTTTGAAAGCAGTCTTTTAATTTATAATTTAATGGGGACAAAATTCCATTCACCTTAGTATGTGGCTCCACACGCATCCACATACTACATCCACCTTAGTATGTTTTGAGGAATGTGAATGTGTCTTATCTTAAGGGAGCTTTTGCTCATCGTGAGCTAAGTTGTGGGCATGCATGTTGTGAGGCAGGTGGAGGCCATTGCTGCTTCACTGGATAGGCTTCTGAGTGACAGCCTTCTTTCTCCTGTAGGTGAGGAATGAGCTTGGGCTTCCAGAGGGCTCTTCCACTCCTGTGTACACGTGTGCACATACAGGTGTTGTTCACACGCATGAGCTGGATGTGTCCCTTAGCTGCCCGAGTCACAGTTAGACAGGTACATGCTTGTGTCCTTAACACAAAGATAGAGCTGTGTGGTATGCACACACACGCGCGCACACACACCTTCCTCTGAATTGTTTTTATCCTCATTTGATTCTGAAATTTTCTGTTTTGAAAAACCAAGTTCAGAAAGTGACTTGTAATTATTTGAACATTTTTTTCTCCTGTATATCTTGAATGGCCCAATTACTCTATGAGAAATAAAATTATAAAGTGATAATACTGCTAAAATTTTATATAAACAGTTCAGCTGTGTATATGTACTATATCCATGTGACTCCACTTTTGATGCGATTCTTCAGTATTTCTGATATTGTTTCTTTACATAATTCTATTTAGAATTATTTAAAAATTTTGTACAGCTGGTTTAGGCAAAGAAGCATGTGTGATAAATTTCCAAAAAGGAAATCTCTGATGTATTTCTTAATCACCTAAAGTTCCATTTTCAGATTGCTCCAGGTGACATAGTTACAGCAGTGAGCCTGTGGTGTAGATCTTTGTAACTCCCTCCTCCCCAGGGTTTAATCAGTGACTCTTAGCTGTGCTTATCGGCCTCCTCCCCGGTGCTCTTCTAGGCCACCTTTTGAACTAGCCATGAGCTATTACTCTTATTGGTGTTATTAGGAGTTTTTTTTAGTTCATTCTGAAAACCTACTTGATGTTCTGTACTTTGCTCCTTACTATCTTGAGTTCCACATGCAGAATAATACACTTTACCCAATTGCAGGGAGGATTGATTTGCCCTTAATAAAAGTGAATTTTTTAAGTTGTAAAATAATGTGTTAAAAAGAAGATTTTCCCCATTATTACCTTTAATTGATTTAACGGTGTATAACAATATAATTACCACATTGCTAAGTTTACACTTGATTGTATTGTGTATAATAACACCTATTGGTCTTTTAGTTCTGTGTTTTTAAGCAGTCTGTGGCTAAGTGTGAAACCAGATTTGTGAAAATTAAAATGTGACAGCAGGTGCAATGTGCTTTAGCCAAAATTCAGTATTAATTCAAGACCGAAATGCCATTCATTCCTGGATCTTAGAGACACTCTGTTCTGATTTCCATCATTTATAGAGAACTTATCAGTGGCATGAGCACATTTTCTTGATCAGAAACTAAGTCACATCTCTGCTATATGAATTCTAGCCAGGACATATTAATATCAGCCCTTGTCTCTGGCTATGGTAATATAACAGGGAAATAACCCTCAAAATCAGTTACTGTACTTCATGACACCATTATAGGAGGAGGCAGGCTCACATTTCTTCTCTTTCTTCCCAAAAGAGACCTGTCAGCCACCACATGATGCTTGTAACAATGCTGTCATTTGCCCACCAGATAGGAAAGTGCCTTTTTTTTTGCATTCTGTGAGGACACAGATACTCATTTAGGAATATGACCGATGTGAAATAAGTAAGAGTTACAGTCCAGAAAACAGTGGTGGCTGGAAGCCTTGACTAATCTCAGTTGCTGCTTCCTGCCCAGTGCCTCACATTGGTGTGATTGACTACAGAGTGCTTGATGAGAAGGAAATAGGAAATTGTGTCCCTAAAGGTCTTGACTGACCCAGAACTCTTCTAGTCAGTGCTTACAGTATTTGCATTATTGTTAGATGCAAATGAGTTTCAGTGTGCTCATTATGGTGACTTGATAGTACTGATGGAGAAGAAACAAACAGGACAACTAGATTTTAAATACAGGTGTAAGAAGACACCAGGGGAAGGCCCCTCCTCTCCTGCCCTCCACGGAGAGGATGTCTATGGAAAGAACCATATAGAAAACAATCTTAAGAGTTTTTCTTGTATCAAAATTCCCCTCATTTTAAAAGGATCTTCCTTATAGCTTTCCTCTTTTTAGTTGCATGAATAAACTGTGGTAAATTATTTTTATAATTTAATGATATCAACCAGAGAATACTTCCTACATTTTTAAAACTTCCTTTTAAAACAAGTTTGTTTTTAACTTAAAAAAAATCAAAAGTTTCTTTAAATTGCTTTTAAAAGACCCTTATTCCTCATTCAAGCTTTATTTTTAAGTTATATTGAACTTTTGTTAGTTTTTTAAAATCTGCTTAATAAAACAGGATTGAGTTGAGATTTTGATACCCTTTTCTTGAATTTATATATTTGAGTTAAAATTTACATCGGTAGATTTGTATTGGTGAATTTCATCTGTTAGGATCACCGTTGAGGTCAAAATGCTTGTGCTAGATATGAGCTGTGTGTTAGCTTTTTTTTTTTTTTTTTTTTTTTTTGAGATGGATGCTGGACAAGTCTCTCTGACCCCCTGGCATCTAGCTGTTTAATTATTTGAGTAGCATGAGCTTTTCACTTAAATAAACAAATATAATTTTAAAAAATAAACCAGAATGGTCTCATGAGTTGCCTAGGTTAAATGTTCACATTTAATATTTTTGGATAAATGTAACTTTGGATATAAAAAATACTTCCCCCAAATAGTTTCTATTTTCCCAAGTTTACCCCCCACCCCCAATCTTCTGTTTTTCTCTCCTTCTGCTGGAAGAGATAAGACATCTTTTCCTTCTAAGAATATTAGATATTAGTGTGTGGTTTATTAATATGATAGTCTATTTTTACATCAGTGTGTACACTTCCAAAAAGTGTACAGTGTGTACACTTCCAAAAAGAAAGAAAGAATTCTAGACTGTTTACTACACAAGTTCTATTTTTTATTTATGCAAAAATTTAAGTGCATGTTTAACTTCAAGAAGTTTTTTGATTTTGTTGTTGTTGCTGAGGACATGGGATTAATATATTTTAATATTTCCTTTATGTGGTTCTCAAAATAGCAGACTGTTAGGAAACCTGATGAAATACATCACCACAATTGTCATGTAACTTGTCTTTTAGAGGACAAATTACATGGTTAATCTAGAGATGGGTAAAGAAATGAGGAAAAAATTTAGTAGGTAAGTTTAGATCAAATTATCTGTTTCTCTACAATTGGGATATGCCAGTACTGAACCACATTGCCAGGAAACTTATCCTTCTAGTTGCAAGGTTTACTTTCCTAGTACGGCACAGTTACCAAGAATTTGCCTTAGTACACAGAAGCGTTTCTCTATTACCTGTTTCTGGTACTAGTGGCCTACAAATCACTTTGAAAATATCTGTTGGCATTTGCTGGCACACTAGATTTACTTGTTTACTGGATTCTCTTGTCTCCTGGGTTAGATTTCAAGATTGTTCTGTTTTAATCCTAGGCATTGCATATTGCAAATGTCCCATATTTAGTGGCATTTTTTATAAGATGGCAAAAATGGGTCTGCATTGCACATGGTATGTGGGAATGGATGGTCATTAGTTTCTCGTGACAGCCATGTTGGTTTGAATGTAGGGTTTTTGTTTTTTTGGGTGTTTTTTTTTTTTTGTTTGTTTGTTTGATTTTGTTTGCTTTTTTTTTTTTTTTACCCCTAATGAAAAGTTATTAAGATTACCTCTGTTATATTTAAAACTCAGATAAGTAGGTTAATTATATATAGAAGTTTAGCAAATGTTTGTTTTCACCAGGGCTGGAAATGCCAAGCCATTAAATAAAAATGGCAGCTTAAATTGGGCAAATTTGATAAATGCATTAGCATTCTTCATCCTAGTAATAAGGTTCTCATGCTCTCTCTCTCCTGTTTTTCATTTCCAGTGTTCTATTTAGGTGAGTTTTTGAATTCTGATTTTTTTCATTTAACTTCTCCCTCTTCACTTCATGAATAAATACCCCAAAGAGAATGTCTCATTGTCTTAGAAATGTCCAGCTCAGGTGCCTATTCAGATGCTCATTGAACACTTGTTTTCCTCCAGCTCTTCATATATAAATGTTTATTTTTCCTTTATTGTTGATGTTTTCCATTTGTTTCAAGTAAGCCTTCTGGAGATGATGACAGCATTATGTTGCAGTCTTTCATTTGCTGTGTGTTATGTAAAGCTTATATTTTATTTTGCTAAACAAAGAGAAGATACATTTGTAAATATGTGATGGTTTTATGTTATTCTTCTCATGATTTTATCTCCTCCGTCCAGCTAACTATAAAGATAATGTTCATCTATAATGTTTTCCCTCCCTTTTAGGGCCAACATTGCCTAGACAAAATTCTCAACTGCCTGCCCAAGTTCAAAATGGCCCATCACAAGAAGAATTGGAAATTCAAAGAAGGTAAATTTTATGTTGTTATTTGCAGTTTTTCTTTCTACTGCAGAAAACCTGTAAGCATCCTAATATTGAAAGTGGATTATATCTTGTCAGCCGTTTAAAAGTCACTTGGCAGCATACAAAGTGACTTTCACTTCAGGGAGTCTTATTTTTATAGCAATTATAAATTGATCTATGGTCATTATGGTTTTCACATAACTAATTTAACTAGAAAGTTGAAATCATGGCTATTAGTAGAAGTCATTGATAATGAGATATTACCATAGTGCTTAGTAATGGAATACAAACTCATTCTATTTATGATTAAATTGCTGGTTCAGTAAGATCAATGATAACATCTTGTTGCTTCAATGTAATTTATAAAGAAATACAGTACAGTTTGTAAGAAAATTTCTCAATTAGCAGAGTCTCCGAACTATAAGCTACCAAATTTGTAACAAAATAGTTTTATAAAATTCAGATACATTCAGTAAAATTGAGTTAGTTAAACTCAGGTGTTCGATTTTATTTATTTATTTCATAAGATTTTATTTATTTATTTATTTGGCAGAGAGAGAGAGAGCATGAGCATGGGGAGTGGCAGAGGGAGAAGCAGACTCCCCATTGAGCAGGGAGCCCCATGCATGGCTCCATCCCAGGACCCTGGGATCATGACTTAAACTCAAGGCAGATATTTAACCAACTGAAGCCACCCAGGCACCCCTAGGTGTTCCATTTTAAACATATGAAAACTTTTTGGAGATGTTGATGTTGCTTTTTATCACTAGTCGGTCACCTGTTTTATTTTAGACAGCTGATAACCATCATACTTAGATGGATTCTTCCAGTTGACAAGCATTTGATCCATAGCATGCCAGCATCTCTTCTTCTGACCTTTGATTTGGATCTCACATTTGAAACACTCTTCAGATTCTCTGTGTTGTTTTGATGTGTGTGTCATGTTCCCCTGTCAGCTAGAGGGATCTCTCACCATGTTCCGTGTTGGCTGCTTTGGTGTGTAACTGCTTGGCTCTTGGGGAAGGCCCTTCTGAAATGAGTTTTGGTTTTGTCACAGCCTTTTATATTTAGTAAAGTTGCTCTGGAAATAGCTCCAAATTTGATGAAAATCTATCCAACTCTTTTGAGTGAAGCTATAACAAATATAAATACAATTAAATTTTTATAGAAATAAGGAAAGTTTAAAAGATGGAATTTGGTTCTATATTGAGTGTTTTAAACAGAACAATTCCAAGAGTTAGAAATTGTAATGAGACTGTTGCCTCCCCCTCCATACACACACATAGACACACACACACACACACACACACACGGAAAAGTAACTAACAAAAAATGATCATGGGGTGCCTGAGTGGCTCAGTTGGTTGAGTGTCTCACACTGTTTAGGCTCAGAGCTTGATCTTAGGGATTGTGAGATCAAGCCCCAGGTCAAGCTCTACACTCGAGGGGTCTGCTTCCCCCTCCTTCTACCCCTCCCTCTGCTTGCATACTCTGTGTCTTTCTCAAATGAATGGATAGATCTTTAAAAGAGAATGATTGGGAATAACCTTTGTGGAAAGCTAGGAAGGACCAGGAAAGAACCCAAATGTAACATAATTTCTGGCATCATGGAAGGACAAGTGGCTCCTGGGACAGTTGCTGGATGAGGACAATGCAGGATAGAAATAGGAGCCAGCAGAGGGTACTGCATCATCAGATGGGTGATCCTTTGCATGGAGGTCATTCAGAACAGAACTTGGAACTTGCAGTTTTAGTGGAAATGAATATTGAGTGAATTTTTACTAACTGCTGTGAAAATGCTGTACCTTGAGTCTGATTTTGTCCCGTCCAAGCGCTGGCCCTGCAGCGCTCACCTGGCTTTTCTGTTTGTATATAGGAAGATACTTCAGAGTTTGAAAATTGAATGTTGTCTATACTGCTCATTTAGTTCAAAACTTGAACTCAGTCGTTTTGAAGAGTAAAATCTAAAGTTCTGAAAAAATTTTAAATTATTTTCTGTAAATAATTTAATTTTTAAAATTTTTTGGTAAATAATGTAAATTTTCCGTGTAAATTTTTATTTTCTGTCCCTAGCTACAGTCTTCTTTATTTTTTAAAAAGATTTTTAAAAACTATTTTTTATTTTTAAGTAATCTCTACACTCAGCATGGGGCTCAAGCTTATAACCTCGAGATCAAGAGTCTAACACTGCACCAACTGAGCCAGCTGTGTGCCCCCTTTTCTTGTAGGGAAACCTTCCATTTGGGTACCACTTTCTCTCAGTATTAATTTTTTTTCTCTGTCCCTTCCCTTCTCTCTCCTTCACCCACTTCCTTTTTTATCTGCTGAAATCTGTTTTGTGTCTCCTCAAATCTGGAAATGCTGCTTCCAGCATTGACTTGTTTCTACTTCAAATATCTCCTCTTTGTGCAACTTTGCCTCTTTGTTTTCTTCCTTTCAAAGTGCAGAGTCTCTTCCTTCCTGCCTTTTGTCCCTTGTACCCCTCACTCCTCTGGCTTCTTACATGAACATGCGCACAAGCTGTCCTTGTTCTCCCTCTGTATGTGGTATACCTTGACAGACTGATGATTGGGTTGCATATTGAAGCTTTCCCTTAACTGTCTTATCCTGGTGGCTTCTACATTGACAGCTGTGATCATACACCTGAGATCTGTGCCATATTGCCCACGAAATAGGGTAGTATCATAGACCCTCCTGAGAATTTGGCGACAGCAGCAGATTCGTGCCATCTTTCCCCCAGCCTCCCGCCCTTCTTACATGCACATATATGTGCACTTACATGCAACATCTGCATGTCATTTCAGAGGGTCACAGACCCCCCCCCCCCCTTGGTTCCAACAGTTGATCCTCAGTGAGAATTCCTGTTTTGGAGCTCATGCATTTGGGTGTCCTACTAATACTGCAGTGTTAAACCCTTATGATTTCTTTCTTAATGTACATGCCTTCTTCTCTTTAATATTTCTCCCAGACTTTCTGCTTAGAGGGTCTGTAATGCTCTTCATTCATGATCTCTATTCCAGTGTGCCCTGTGACTTCTGTCTCTAAAAGCCTGTTCTACTCTTCTGACATTCTCATTACTAGTAGCTTCCAGTATTTGTTCTCTTACATACTGCCAGTGTTTTGTAGTTGATTTACTGATCTTTAACCTAGACTTCCTTTCAGTTATTCCCACTTTATTACTGTCAGATTAATTTTTCTTAAAGTCATTTGCACGTGGTAGACTCCCTTTATAGCACATGGTAGATTCTGGAGGGCAGAAGATGGGGAGGGTCGCCTGCCTTCCCTTCCTATTAATGCCCAGAGTTTAATCACTCTTAACCATTTCTGCATTTAGTAGTCCTGATAGCTTCTTCCATAGCATGAAATCATATGCTGCTTTTTCTATTTCTTGATGAGTCCTGTGACAGCTGGGGGCCGTGGACCCACCCCCTAGAAAGCACAACTTGTCACCTCCCTGGCCAGCTTCCAGCAGCTGTTAGTTTCAGCCCTGACACTGGTTTCTCTTTAGATTGAACCTGTGTCTTCGCTTGAGCTGTTTCCACCTTCTTCGTTCTGTGACACCCCTGTCCCTGTGCTTCCATCCCATCCCCTGGTTTTCTCATTTAACAATTTATACATTTGCAGTCGTCTTACATCTGTCCTTAATTTGGTCCTTATGTTTACAGGTGTTCTGCCCCCTTCCCCGCCCCCTTTTCTGGAATCCCTTTAAACCTGTGAACCACAGTAATCTGGATTTTTAGGACTATGTCATGAACTAAAGTTTTAGGGTTTTGTGGGGTTTATTTTCTTTAGCTCAGTACTTAACGGACCTTTTTTCCATTTGAAGACTTATAACCATTTAAACATTTCTTCTCTCTGTTTTCTGAGTTCTCTTTTGGGAACTCTTGTTAGTCAATGCTGACCTTTCTGGGTTATTTCCTCATGATACTTATCTTGTCTCATTTTTTTGCTTCTTTTTCAGTTCTGTATTCTTGGAGGTTTGTTTGTTTGTTTTTAGATTTTATTTATTTGAGAGAGAGAAAACAGAGGCGGAGTGAGAGGGAAAAACAGACTCCCCACTGAAGAGGGAGCCCGATGTGGGACTTGATACCAGGACCCTGAAATCATGATCTGAGCCAAAGGCAGACACTTAACCGACTGAGCCACCCAGACACCCCTCTTGGCGATATTTGTAACAATATATTCTAGGCCAGTACCATCTAGTAGAAATGTAATATGGATCACGTATGTAATTAAAATTTTCGGGCAGCCCTGGTGGCGCAGCAGTTTAGCGCCGCCTGCAGCCCGGGGTGTGATCCTGGAGATCTGGGATCGAGTCCCACGTCAGGCTTCCTGCATGGAGCCTGCTTCTCCCTCTGCCTGTGTCTCTGCCTCTCTCTCGCTCTCTCTGAATAAACAAACAAATAAATCTTTAAAAAAAATTTTTTTTTCTAGTGGCCAAATTAGCAAAAGTAAAAAACAAGTGAAATTAATTTTAATAATATATTTTATTTAAGCCAGTTTATCTAAAGTATTATCGTTTTAACGTGAAATAAGTATAACAATTGTTAGAGTATTTTATATCCTATTTTTCATACCAAGTCTTCAAAATTAGGAATGTGTTTATGAATACCACACATTGCCATCCAGACAGGCCACATTGCAAATGTTCAGGAGCCACACACATGGCTCACAGCTACCTAATGAGGTTTGAGCACAGTAGTGGATCGTCTGTTGAAAGATTAATCTTAATCTCCAAGAGCTTTTTCTATTTTATAATTATTCCCTTTTTAACAGCCTGTTTCAAATTCATAATTGTATCTTAAGCCTCTCCATTTTCTGTTTTTCTTGCTTTGCCTGAGTCTTCTCCCTCCTGTAGAGTTAAATTGATTGTCATACTGGTTTTACTCAAATTATCTGGTCATCTTTAGTGGTCCTTTTATTTCTAAACATACGAGATTGAATGGTGTCAGTCCATGGCTTGGGTTTCCTCTTGCATCATGGAGGTAAGGTCTCTACTGGGCAGG